GGGTGCTTAAATGTGGCCTGTGGGGCCAGCCTGGAAGTATCAAAGGACCAGCCTGTGGTGCCTCTGCCTCTGCCTACCAAAAAAGGCCACAGCCCCCCCCCCCCCCAGCCCGTATTTGGCCTCCCCAGTCTCCAGTAGCATCCTGCGGGCCAAAAACGGGCTTCATGGAAGCCCTGCGCAGCCTGTTATCAGCCGCCTCAGGCTTTCAGCTGGGAGAATGCTGCAGCAGTCCATGGAGGCTGAAAATGAGGCACAGGGGAGCACATGTACCCCCCCCACACACACACCCTGTTTTGGCCAGCAGGGTACTGCAGGAGGCGTTCATCCCATCTCTCCCACACCGCCTCGCCCCCGCCAGCCCACAGAGAACTACAATGCTGATCCAGCCCTCAAAGAAATCCAGTTCGACACCTCTGCTTTAGAATCATTAAAGAAAGGATGCCAAACATGGGACAAAATGAAATGGGAAGTTTTAAAATTATTTTAAATAATTAAATTGAGTTGAGTTGTCCCGCAGTGAGTTGGCCATGGTGACTTGTCCCATGGCGAGTTGGCTGCTGTGAGTAGTCCTATTCACCTCTTGAACACCACTGAAAACAGGAGGGAGGGGAAGGTGGGACACTCCCGAGGCAGCTTCGGGTCCAGAAGCCAGGGTCCTGCACAGAACCGATCGCGGCTCCTACCGCGATGATCCAATTTAAGCGACCACACGTAGCAGTGCTCAGAGGATCTTTCACCAGGATTTTAGACAATACAGGGTAGGTAGATGGTTCTCCTTTGAAGCCAAAGTTTATTCTTTGTGTGATTTTATTCCCAGATACCTGATAATACAGGACTGATGAGCTGGGGCTGGCCTAAATCGGCTTCTAAATATTTATGCTGGGGAGAAAAATTAGCACTGGAGAAGTTATTTAGAGCTGTGAATAGCAGTAGTGAATCCTCAACCCCTTTTAACGATCCAATGGATTCTTCTAACTCCATAAGATATGTAGAGAGCTTCAATTTGGAATTGTGTGTAGTTAGTTAGGGCTACTGTATCTGAGCTGCAAGAATCTGGACGATTGCTACACAATAAGCAAAAACAAAATTTGTTTCTGTATCTCTGCCATGTTAGTGTTCATTCCAGTATCTAATTATTATTCCGCCTCTGTGAACCTTGTTGGGATTTGGGGGTGGGGTATGCCTTTGAATCTTGACTCCTGGTAACTGGACAGGTCTGTGCAATTTCTTGGCAAGATTTTGGGAGTGATTTGCCCTTGCTCCATTCCAAGAGCCGAGGGAGGGTGACTGGCTCAAGGTCATTGTCATGCCCCTGGGTGAGACTGACTCTGAGGGAGAGGAGGAACAGCCGAGACAGGGAGTGAGGGAGTGACAGAGTGGAAGTGTGGCTCCGGAGGTTGTGGAGGAGGCTGGGGAAGGGCAGAGGCCGGGTGAGCAGTCAGAGGAGAACCCAAGCCCATCCCCTATCCCAGGGGTGGGATTCTACCAGTTTGCACCTATTCGCTAGAACCGGTTGTTAACATTCTAAGCAGTTTGGAGAACCGGTTGTTAGAAGAAACTACTGGCCTAATCCTGTAAGGAAGGCAGGAAGGAAACATTCTGGTGTTGCTTACAGAAACTGTCTCTCTGTTAACCCTTATTACATTCTTGGCAGGACTAGACTTCCTGTCTCAGGAATGTGTCTGGAGTTTTTTTTCCCCTCCTTTGCTGGTACTTTACTTGTGTGGAGTGACCATTCAAAGTTACAATGGCACTGAAAAAAGTGACTTATGACCATTTTTCACACTTACGACTGTTGCAGCATCCCCAGAGTCATGAGAGGCCAGGCGAGGAGATGCGCGCCTCAATGTGAGTGATATTGAGTTGGACATGCCCAGCCAACATGCCCACCAAGCCATGTCCACCCAATCACATGACCACCTAAGCCACACCCACCACCTAAGCCATGCCCACAGAACCGGTTGTTAAAAATTTGAATCCCACCTCTGCCCTATCCATCCTAGGGCATGCAGGGAGGAGAGGATAAGGGAGAAACGTGGTCTACTCGGGAGGAGAGGGCCTTTATCCTCTTCATGGGCTATAGGTGTGAGAACCGCATAAGAGTTTGGACCTGCATTCTGGCAAACACTGGAGACAAAACATGTTTTATTTTGGCTTGAGGTTATCTTGGATGGCATCCTCCCAACAGACTGTGCCTTCTTATCTCCTTGAATTGGATAAATATTTCTCCTGTTCCGTTGTAGAAATTTCATCATTGTAATTTGTTTGGTTTTTATTTTCACCTCTATCTGCTCATTAAATTTGGACTGTATTGTTCTCTTTTGAAGACTATTTTTGAGTACGTTTTATCTCCAACTAAGAACTATTGAACAGTGGGGCCAAGTTGGAGGCATTAAAGGACATTTATTTACGTGTTGGATTTTGTTACGTTTGTGTTACACTCTGGGTCATCACACCTGGTGTACTGATATAAACAGCATTGCAGGATTATTAATTGCCATCACTCAGACAACTGGTAGCTCCAATTTTGGATTGGGAAGGGAACATCAAGAACATGGCAGAAATACTGAAAATAGGTGGGAGGAGGACATTTAAAGCCATTGACGCTGCGGCTACGGAAAGGAAGTGGGGTCCTCCACTGATTCACCTGTATTTTTCTATTCAAATGTTCTGAACTATTAAGTGGTTAAGAGACCCTGCAGGAATTTTGGCTGCCCCTCAGCAGAAAAAAAGTGTATGCCACCCAAAAAGAGCCTGTTTCCATTTTCTTTGATAATACTGTTTATTGTCCGGAGACTCAAGTGTCCACATACGAATTATACAAAGCGTCAGAGACATGCACAGTCTGCTTGTCTATTCAGCAACTTTCATGTGTTCCCAGCACAAGAAAATCTCAGCTTTCAGAATCCAACAACAACAAAAACAACCCACCCCATATTATTCTACCCACCAAACTATCTTCCCACCCCAGCTGCTCCCCAAAAAGCTTTAAATTACGGCAGCAAGTTAACTTATTTTTTCATACTCACTAAGCAAAGATTTGAAAATAATGTAAACTCTTTATTATTATTTTTAAAAATATTTTCGAATTGCTGGCGTGGAGGGGAAACTGTTCTGTTATGGGTGTTTCAGGGAAAGTTATGCATGACACTAAAACCCACAGCTATAAATTAAGCCAATTGAGGAGTCTTTTATATTGTTTTTCACACCGCTACTCAAATGGCCAACTTAGTTTGCTTGCTGGCAGGCTGGGAGCTGCAGTTTAGCTAGCAAGAAGCAGCCACATGTTGCTGCCACCCTCCAGTCTCTGTCAAAAACTTACACATGCTGCAGGAGAAACCAGAGGAGAAGGCAGGAACAGAATACTGCTTCTGCTGGCATTCCGCAATGAGGGAAGGAACACTGTCCTCCGTACGTTTGACATTCTTCCCCACTGTATGTTAAAAGCTTCCAACGTAGAACCCCTTTACAAAGTAATAAGTGCAAATCTAACAGCTAAACAAGGACATTAAAAAAAACATAATAGAGGAATGATACAACTGATTGCTGAAACAAACTGAAAAAAATTACAAATCAAAAAGTATCAACAGAGAGAAAGAAGGTAAATGTCACATAGGATATAACCGTACAGGAAGTAAAACAGGAGTCTTATACTGGACTGAACAGATTCTTTTTCCTTTTTCTTGTTTTAAAAATATATTGAAATCAACAGACTGGCCCAGGATGACATCTTTAAATTCTACCTTGATGAACAGCATGAAAAGGCCACAGGGGGCAGGCCTGGCTAAGAATAAGTGTGAGTATCCTTCAGATCTAGGTCTGAGAATCCCCAAAAAGTGGGGCGCGGACCCAGAGCTTGGGGAAATCCAGAAAAGAAAGGACAAGCTCAGAAGGGGGAATGGAAGGGCTGGACTGAACAACACTCCTTTTCAGACAGTGGAGGGTTTTGTCATTACTCCAAAGGAGCATTTATAATCACAGTTTAATAAATGTGTGTGGATCACTGGCCAGCTCTCCTAATCGCATATTTGGGGAGAGAACATAAATGTTTACCTTCTGTGAAATTCTTGTTGTAATAATTTATTTCTCCATTCAGCAAGCCGCAGGGCTTGGAGCTGTGTTCGGCCTGATTAAAAAGCATTCTGTGCCTGGAACTTTGGAGGATCAGGAGGAAGATGACAATTCCTTGGTCTACAAAGTTCCAAAATCCTAATAGAAATAGTAAACCTTAGAACTGGCTAAGAGAGACTGTGACATCAGAATTACATTAATGGCATAAAGATGAAAAAGAAGGTGGGTTAAGCATATGGAGTAAGTCCATATCCTGAAACACTTTTTAAAAACTGAAATTTGATTATTCCAGACGCAAAGCTAGAAGCTGCATATAACTCTTAGGTCTTCCAGGCTATATATATTAACTTTGTAGCATAAAGTATCCTGAAAGAAGATACTGTTTCTCTTGGACAGTCAATTTTCAAAGAGTTGCTTAGTCCTTGGAAGATAACACAACTCTCTTTGCCAGTGCAAAAGGGTGCCCTAACTGATGACACCACTACCACTTTTCATGGAGCCCAAAATGCATGTTTAATCTCAGCCGGCCACATGTCTCTCTGTATATGTGTCTTAAGAGAAAGGAATGGCTCTAAAATAGTAAGTGTGGAATAATTTCATATGTGGAAAGATTTTGGGTTTTGACCCAGGCAGAAGGTGGGAGAGTGGGAAAGAGAGGGTTTACAAGCTTTCTTCACAAGGAGGGATGTCTCTCAAGACAGTAAGAACCTGGTAGGCCTGCTACCCAGAATCAGAGACAACACCTCTCAGCCAATCATACTGTTGATGCTGCCTTCCGCCATTATAACTTGGCTGAAACCCATAGAGTAAGAAGACACTCACTGGGAACAGCACAGGGGAAGAAGCAGAAGAAGCAATGTATGAATGGCCTCAACATCCCTTTCCTTAGCACTCCCCACCCCCTGCTACTGGCCTGCCCATAAGTTTTGATTTTCATGCTGTTTCCAGGAAGTGATGTCAAATGTGGACCAATCTAATTCCTTGCAAGCCATGCTGCTGGTGCCAAAGGAACTCAAGGATCCTCAATGTCAAGGAACTCCTGTTTAGGGGGAGCCACTCCACGGTACCACGCGCAGGAACCATCACTCCGCTTGATGCAGGCATAGTGTTTTGCCTGCCGCCCATTGATGTTCTTCTCCGTCACCCAGTCAGTCCACAGACACTCATCCTGAGCAGAGACAAAGCAGGGGATGTAGGGGCAGCGGGAAATCTTCAGAGAGAGAGAAAAAAATACCATTAGCTACATGATTTCCTAGCATTACGATCGAAGATCTGATTAACCTTGCTGGCACTAGATTCAAGTTCCATGTATTGCAGCACTTTGGACCAAAAATCTGAGCAATCTGACAGGTTAGCATGCAAGACTACTAGCAAGACAATACCATCAGTATGGAATTATGTGCATTTTAAAGTGCCTGCACTAGTTACCAGTAGGCTTCCGGGTCCAATTTGAAGTGTTTTAAAGCCCTGAATAACATAGGCTTGGGCAGGTTGTTGGGCTAGAACACTTCCAAGATCTCATTCAACTATAAGAGCCTACAAGGTCTTGGGCAACAGGAGTCTGCCTATCTGGTATGAATGAGAGAGAGCAGTAATTCTGCCTAGTAGCCTCTGCATCATTCACCAGCGGTCGTCCAGGCAACCTTATCTGTCTGCAATTCTGGAAGCAAGCTAAATCTGTTTCATGTCAGCCTGCCATCTGAATTAAGATTCTGATTTTTGGTATTAATTAATTACCCATGGCCTTTTTCTTTTGTTTTGAGGCTGTACATCACCCAGATCCTTGGGGATTGGGGTGGGTTAGGAATTCCTCAACTGAATTATTACTTTACTCTGCCAATGCCTCCAAGAAAGCAAACTAAAGAGCAAACAGGAGCCACCAACTAAAAGAACACACTTCTTCTGCTCCTTGCAGAAGGTCCAAAGTTGAAAGGGTTCAGGCCAGGTTATAAGTTTAAGATCGCATCCTACACCCATAGATGACCTGTGGCAAGAGCAAGGTGAGTACAGTGTAACCATCCTCACTCTTCTTGACATAGCAGCAGCTTTCAATATTAGCGATCATGGTATCCTTCTGAACCGGTTTGGGGAATTAGATGGGGCTGTGTTGAGCTGATTCTACTTTTAGGGTCATTTCCAGTCAGAGTTGATATTTTGGGGGGGGGGCGGGATTCAGCCAATGGCCTCTACTTTATGGGGTACCCCAGGCCCAGTTCTGGGGTCTTCTGGGACTTACAGCTCCTGCTAGAAGATCAGGTATCATCTGTGGCCTTTGCACATCTTATGGTTATGAGCCAATTGCAGTTGCTCCTGGATTGGGAGGCTTTATTTAGGGTTGTTTATGCCTCATGACCTCTTCTCTGAGTTGTTATAATGTACCTTACAGGGGACTGCCCTGGAGCATTCAGAAGCTACAACTTGATATGAAATGCGGCCTCATGAGCAGTAAAAGGTGTTGGATGCTTGATGCACTTTAACACCACTGCTATGTGGATGGCATTGGCTGCCGGTGTGCTTCCTGGTACAATTCGAAGTGTTGCTTATCACCTTTAAAGCCCTTCATGACTCGGGGAGGTGTTAACTAAGGAACAGTCTTCTCCCAGTCATTTCTACCTGCCAATGATCCAGCAAGTTAGGCATATCACATCACATGCAGCCAAGGAATGACAGGGAACTAGGAGATGTGCCTTCTCTGCCGTAGCCTCTGCCCTCAGGAAAATTCTCCCTTCAGAGATCAAGAAGGCATCGACCTTGTGGGCCTTTTTAAAGACCATAAAGGCTTGGTTGTGTGCATGGGCCTGGGGTTCTGAGTGAGTTGAGGGTTCAGTTTCTTGACCATTTTAACATCCATGACAATAGTTCCACTCAATGACCTTATATGTTTACTTTGTATTGTTTAATTGGTTTTGTTTTTACATTTTATAATGAATGTAAGCCACCCCAGAATCATTTATTGAGATGGGCAATTATATAAAACATATAAACAAATAATTAAATAAATTTGAGTTTACCTTGCATTCACAGCCCATCTGGTACCGCTGGTTGAGACTCTTCTTTTGGGTGGCACTGAGGGAATCCCAAGGAACGATGAAATCACAAAGGGTGATGTGCATCCTGCCATTACCCTCCGATTTCCCTGAGAGAACAAAGCAATTATGAATAGCAGCCTGCAAGCCAGAGGGCATTTTCCTGATTATTTCCAGAATTAACTTATAATTTAAGTTAATTTAAGTTAAGCTTAAACTTGATTGGGAAACCTAAATTGTAAATGAGAGCTAAAACAAACATTGATTTGTAAGTAATTACACTCTCCTGACAGAGTTTCCAATCAATTGGGGGGGTGGGGAATGGCAGCTGGTAGGCACCACTGTAAATTTTCAGATCACACTTTAGATTCATAAAATGGCTGCCCTTGTGGGGAAACTGAATATTCACAAAATGGCTGCCACATTGGGCATCATCTATCATAAACTAACTATTTCCCAAAGCAAATTGGCAAATCAATCAATCCCTCCTATTGCAGTCTTGCCTCCCCATCTAACTGCGGCTTAGTGATCACCTCCTAACAATCAGCCATTTTTTTCTTATAAGTTCTCTTAAAAAATATAGGGTCAACAACTCAACATATATTTGTGGAAATAAAGAAGAAGTTGAAAGCTCCGGCTGTGATGTATAGTATGCTCATTTCACATTCATTTTTTGAAAAAAAAATTAAAAGTAATAGGTATACTCTATTCCATGTTAGGCTACACATGAAATATTGTTCCCCATTTCTGGCATCTTTTAAGGAGTTTGAAAAACTGGAATATACTCAGAGAAGAATAAGTAGGATGGTAAGGGAACTAAAAAGCAAATATCATAAAGAACATTTCAAAGAAGTAAATTTGTTTAGCCTGTAAACACAAGCATATGTGGCAAACTGAGATTATGGGAAACTGATGATCCATGTAGAATGAGGTTTCGATATAAATTTCAGTTACATTGTGGTGTCCCAACAAGCACATATGTCACAGATTTTGCATCATGACATGTGCCTGTGTGTTGCATCACTCTCTCACACTTTGCTGCCCTCACCAATGGCTACGCCTGAAAAAGAAAAAATTATGGGCAATTGATATCAAACATTACAAGCCTGAAGAGCTATCATGAGGAAGACGAAACAGAAGTATTCTATTCTTCTAGAAATAATAGGCAGAAACTGCTAGGGACGCAGAATTCAGCTAATCGTTTGAAGACATTTTGCAATTTGGGAGAACTACAGGGATTTAAGATGAAGCTGGGCAGCCCCTAATTGTGGATGTCTGGTATTATAAGATCCTGCACTATGAATCTTCTAGCAATTTGGCACCCTGGCAAATTTGCCATCAATGGATAGACAGACATAATACCTACACACTATGCAACAGAGACAATCAACAAGCTAAAAAGAGAACAAAAAGACCAAAACGCTTCCCCATCAGCACTCAGATCCAGATGATCACAAATTAATTCCAAAATTAACATCAGACCAACAATCAAATATACAATACCTTAATCAAGGAACTGTCAAATAAACCAACAGTAGGCAGCCCAACTAAAGAACCTCTAACACCACCACCACCACCGACAGGGAAAGATGCTAAAATATTAACTGAGAGCAAATCTCACTCCTTATTAGCACTGATGATGTTACCCACAATTTGGGTAATGAAACATCTGCAAGAAAAAAACCCAAGCTCAGAGAGCACTAAGGACACCTCACTTATCAATCTTATATTGGACAGGAAACTGAACTAGAGTCAGACTAAGGTTCCTGATTATTACTTTATGTTCTAAGAAACAGCTAGTCAAAGACCACTGCAAAATCCTAGTAGTAAGTTGCCGAAGGTACATGATCACCAAATTTGAAATTGCATTTCTTGCTGCAAAGCTAATTGTCAAATATTTTGGCTATTTCGAGTGGTAAAAAGTAGGTTTGGATTTATTTTTTTTTTGTCTTTCATTGGCTCTATTTCATTGGCTTTCTGTTTCTTACTCTTTTTCTGGGCTTTGCAAATGTATTATTCCTTACCTGCAATGAGATATTCCTTTTTGCCACTAACATCCAGTGTCACTCCACATACCGCCGAGGAGGGAGCTGTGAAGATGAATTCAATGTCCTGTTCTGGGCCTTTAAACATCTGAAAGGGAAAGAAGCAAATGAGGCCAAGCAACCACGCCATTAAAATGGAACACCCCTTTAGAGATCTTTAAATGCACCAATCTTTCCTCATGCTAATAATCATGTCAGACATGTTTCTGATACAGCCCTTTCAAACTCCAGATGTGCTGGTCTTATTCCAGAAATCCTGCCTAGAAACTATAGGACCGGTGATCTAGCACATTTGGAGAACATCAAGACAGGGAAGACAATTCTAGTGTTTCCAATGTTATTCCAAGTTCTTTCCCAAACACAGTCAAAAGACAGTGACCAATGTTTTCACAATTTTCTTTAGTCCTTTGAAAGGCATGTATATTTTGTATCTGTTTTCTCTCCTGGAGAAATCAATCCATATGCCAATAAAATGTTGCCACCTATTTCTTTTTAAAAGGCCACACATTAACTATTATTACAACAAGGGGATTCACAGATTAAGTCAAGCCATAAATTGTGATTTAGAAACTAAAGTTGTGGTTAATGTGGTATGTGAATTCTATCATTTGACATGTCATCTTATATCAACTGATTTCCATTTGACAAATGCTAACTTTAGGGGTATTTTAAAAATTCATAAAGTAATAGATCATTAATAAATCTGGCAAATGGGATGTTCACTGAGACCTATGATCAAGTTATTTTAGAGGTCTGAGGTATGGAAAAAGAGCATTTGTTTCCCAATAGCTTCTCCAGCAGAGGGAGAAACTTTTACAGATGACATGCAGGGAAACCAGAGTAACATTACTGTGCCAATTCCAAAGAAATTCCAGAAACAGGAAACCAAAACTGCTCTTCAAGGCTGCTTCTTCCATACGACTTTCAATGTGTCTCTAGGATACAGAATGATAGCTCTTCTGTTCTTCTTTCATTAAATCAGTGTAGGAATAGAATGCCAATTGGATCTCACTCTAGCATATGGCAAACCCTTGATTCATTTGCTTTTGAGGGTTTTTTCAATGTTTTTACACTATCAGCTAAGACTAGAAGGCTTTTCTTTCCCTTCCTTTTTCTTATTCTTTTGTTAGCCTAAGGATTACTAGCAAACTAATATTTTAATAATTCCAAACAAGGCAGCTGAAAATCTGAAATGAAAATAAAACATAGAAAATATCTAGCACTAAATAGCACTAACATAACAGGTTTATAGGCTCTCTGCAGTTTCCCCCTGAATTGCTGTTGCTCCTCTTTGTGTGTATGTATAAGGCAGTGTTATACTGGCAGTCCCCAAGTTCAGAAAGTAAAGACTATCTCTGAATACAAATAGGCTGTCTATTGCTAAAAATGGCAGACACGTGTTCTCCTTTCCTTGAGCCGATGAAGTGCTGAAGCTATGCAAAGCTTTCAGGAACCACTGAAGCTGTGCATTTTTAATATATAAGCCTGTTTTCAGCCATTTTCAGCAATTCCTAAAAGCATTTTGCAGCTTCAGCAGTTCAACAGCTCAAGGAAGGATAATGTCATCCACCTTTTTTTAGTTAACAGGCTGCCCATTGGCTAAGTACAAGTTCCGACTTCCATACAAGTTTGAGTTAAAGACGGCATAAGGAACAGAAGCCATTCTTATCCTGGGGGCTGCCTGTATACACATAGCCAAAGCTAGGGGTTCTCGTGTAGCTGTTTGTTACCTTTATCTGTTTGATCTCATATTGGATGCGTTTGATGGGGTTTCCATAGATGTCATTCCCAGAGTCCACCTCTTTTTCAGAGACAGCCTTTGCTCTGATCACTGAAATACAAAGAGAAAAAAGAAGTTGGAAGGATGCGGTGCCAGTGATGAATCGAACCATTCCTAAGCAGACTATAAATAACATAACCAGGAGTCTCACTCTTCTTCCTTCCCTTTATAGCACTCGGCAGCTATTCTCACAAGCAAAACCTGGGGTTATTAATCCTGGGGAGAGTTTCTGTTGCATGATGCTAACAAAAAAGCCTTTTGCCCTTTTCTGCTCTTTCCTTTCTGCAGTTCTTTGATTATAGACTCCTTCAAGCTTGCAACAATATTTGAAATGCCACCTTGTTCTATTTATTTCAAAGATAAGGATAATGTCTGCATTATCTGCAAGCAGCCTCCAGGACAAAGAAGATTACTTTAACTAAAATGTGCTGCTGTAAGAATACTGATAGGAGAAACAGAGGTTAATAGCTTTTCTTGTCAAATAGATTTGCTATTAAAACTCTGGTCTCTTCATCCATAATGAAGCTAAACACATTGAGACTCGACTCAGATGAAAATATTTTGCATTCAGACTCTTTGTACATAAATTCTTCAGGCTATTGTGGGGTTTGGGGTGGGAAGAAGAAGAGAATTTGATTTCAGTAAAGGGAAGAGGTGAAAAGCAGGATAGAGGATACCTTTTATTCAAGGACTATCAGGATAATCACACTAGGCTGAGACCAAGCAAGACTGCACTCACTTTCACACCAGGACTGGCTTATCATGTCTTATTTGCTTAATCAGGGTTTGTTAAAAACCACAATTTGATTTCTTTGCACAAGAAACTAAGCCATTAACAATCTCAGTTCTGCCTAGCAGGCATGGGCTTGGGATCTGGTAATATTTCAGAGTTGAGGTAGTCCTCAACTTACATCCACAATTGAGCCTCAAATTTCCATTGTTAAAAGTTGTTAAGTGAATTATGTCTCATGTTACAACCTTTTTGCCATGGTTATTAAGCAAATCACTAGATTTGTTAAATGAATCATATGGTCATTAAGCAAATCTGGCTTCCCCCATTGACTTTGCTCATCAGAAACTCCTTCGGAAGATTGTAAATGACAATCCTAGGATCCTTGGATGCTGCAGCTATTGTAGATATATGCCAAGCACCCAAAATTTGATCATATGAATGTGGAGATGCTGCAATGGTAATAAGCATGAAAACAGGTAACAAGTCATTTTTTTCAGTGCCATTGTAACTTTGAATGGTCATTAAACACATGGTTGTTATGTCAAGGGTTACCTATAATTCCTGATTTTAAACTGCCTAACAGTTCTAACAACTAAGCCAGCTTGTTGTTCATTTCATCTAAACTATCCATTAAGAAAGTTGAGTTGACAAAAAATAGGCTTTTTGTGTGAAAGGATTGTGATGTCAATTCAGCTGAGCTGCTGAAAACCAATTGTTAAACTCAGAATTCACTTAAAGGTATCTTATTTTAAACTTTGTTTCTGGATATAGTGGGGCCTTAGAACTAAACAACATAAAACACTGATGAGATTTACCTCTGCTAAAATCTATCTCAGCCCATCTATAGTTCATAATATAAACTCTTTTTTTTTGCTTTGAGTTCCAATTATATTACTTAATTTATAAGCTCAGCAACTCAGATCGTAAAATAGCAAAACAATGATCCAAGACAAAACCAAATCTTGCTGTGCAACATTGTAAGGGCAGCGATTGGCGGTTTTCCCTGGCTGAAATCTGAATGCCACCAATTTTGGGCAAAGCTGTCACCAACTGCCATACAGACACATTTCAGATGATCCCTGCAAGGTATTCCAGCGAATCATTTTCCCCTTACCTTTGTTTCCCCAAAGACTGTTGACCTATTATCCTAACAGTGGCTAAATTGCAATAGTTTCTCTGTGTTAACTGCAAAGTTGCAGCTGCCAGGATTTGTGCAGCTTAGATGCTGCCTCTGTGTAAGGATTCTTGGGCGTGGAGTTGAAAATAGGAGTTAGGCCTGAATGAATGTGTTGAAGCTGTGAAATGCTGATACAGTGGCCCAGAGGTTAAGATTCTGGACTTGTTGACCAGAAGGTTGGCAGTTCAAGACCCAAGTATCTTGTGACAGGGTGAAGTCCCATTCCTGCCAACCTAGCAGTTTGAAAGCATGCAAATGAAAGTAGACAAATAGGTACCACTTCAATGGTAGGGTAACAGCATTCCATTCAGCATATGATCATGCTGGCATATGACCACAGAAACATCCTCGGACAAGGCTGGGTCCCTCAGCTAAAAAAACAGAGATGAGCAGCGCCCCCTAAACTTAGACACAACTGGACAGGAGAAATCTTTAGCTTTAAAACAAAACAAAACAAAACACATACATAACTGTTTCAAAGTTACTGATAATTTACCTATTGGCCACTAGGTGGCATGAAATAACTAGTTTTTTCTTTTATGTCCTGATTGCAGAGATGCTGGATCAGCATGAGCTTTATGCTGTATGCCTAGCCACATCCATACCAGGAAACATACTATGATGGAATTGATTTTTTTAAAAAGAACATTCCATGTGTAGAGGAACTGAAAAGCTAGGGCCATTGGGAAAGGAATTCCCAGTTGCTCAGGCTACATAAATGAAAGAGGGGAACCTTTTCAACCATCCTTTCAAATACAGTACATTAAATTAGGAATAGGTTCATCAATTTCAAGGCTTCAGCACCTTCTAAATTGTTTTTTCCTCAAACTTGGCAACTTTTAAGATGTGTGGACTTTAACTCCCAGAATTCTCCATGAATGAATTCCGAGAGTTGAAGGTGGAGTTGAATGAGATTGCCAAGTTGGAGAAATATTGCTCTAAATCAGGCTTGTCCAACCCGCGGCCCAGGGGCCGCATGCGGCCCAAGTCGCCTCGTAATGCGGCCCAGTGCCCACCCCAACCTTCGTGCCAGAGCCAGCGAGGAGGAGGAGGAGAGGCAGGGGCGGGGCGAGGCGAGCGCCAGGCCAAGCAGCAACAGAAAAGGCGGGCGCCGTCAGAGCGCCACCTCCTGCTTGTGCTGCCGCCGCCACCGCCCCCGCTTCTGCCCCCGCTGCCACTTCTGCCCCCGCCCCCGCTTCTGCCCCCACCGCCGCCGCCACCGCCGCTTCTGCCCCCGCCGCCGCTGCCCCCGCTGCCGCTTCTGCCCCCGCCGCCACCGCTTCTGCCCCCACCATCGCCGGCGCTTCTTCCCCCGCCACCGCTGCTGCTTCTGCCCCTACCGCCGCTTCTGCCCCCGCTGCCACTTCTGCTGCTGCTGCCCCCGCCACCGCTGCTCCTTCCCCCGCCACCGCCGCCGCTTCTGTCCCCGCCACCACTGCTGCTTCTGCCTTCCAGTCCTGCCTCATCCAGCCGGGCCATTTGCAGGAGGAGAGGTAGGCGCAAGGCGGGCAAGCTTCCCCTCCCCCGCAAAATTTGGCTGGAAAATAAACCGTGATAAAAAAAACCGTGATAAAAAAACCATGATAACAAAACCGTGATAAAAAATAAATAATTTTTAATAAATAATACATAATAAAAACATCTCACTAACTTCATTTCCAAATAAATTTAATATGTTAACTATGTTTTCTATGGATGGTTTCTATGGTTTTTTTGGATGGTCAGGTATCGTTACTGTTATTTTATTTTATGTGCGGCCCAAACCAAATTTTCATCTTCTAATGTGGCCCAGGGAAGGTGAAAGGTTGGACAACCCTGCTCTAAATCAAGTAACCGATCACCAGCTTTAAAGGGGTGGGGGGGGGGGGAGCAAAGGCCCTTCAAGGCTCCCTTGCAGCCAAAATAGTACTCCAGAACATCCAAGTCCTGATGGAAAGGGGTGGTTCACAGCAGATCCAGTGGGCCCACTGTAGCCTAGCAGATCATTGGCCCCAATCATAATCATATTTATCTCAAGCCTCCTTCCCCCATGGGCCATGGATTCTCCATACACATTCGGCTTGTCTCAACAGTGAAATGCCTGAAAGAGAGACATATCCTTAGCAAATGATAGGTGGGGCATCTTTGAACCACAGTAGGAAGGTTATATAGATCAGTCTTTCCACACATTAACCGCCAACACACTAACCACAGACTGAAGACCACATAAATAGAAGCTAATCAGGTATACCACACCTAATCCATAAAAAGCATGACAATTCACACCCCGAAACTACCCCACAATCCAATCACAGGGTAGAGAACGTGTCAATATGGGAATGCTGTATATTGTATAATACTTAGAATGGTTTCCCTTATTTCTCTGCTGTACATGAAGATTAACAGTTGAGGCTTCTTCTTTAATGTCTCTGGCCAAACTTTTTTTTTTGGGGGGGGGGGGCATGGGGGCTTAATTTACCAAAACCATCTATAATTTTCTCTTACAATTATAAGGAGGACAGGTTTTAAAATACACTCCTAGGTGTCAGAAGCTGAACTATAGATAACTGTAGTAGTGTTTTGTAGAAAATTATAATATTGTAATTTTTCAGTTTCATCAGCAGGAACTCACAAAACCCTATAGTGACAAATTCCACTATTCAACTGTTTAATGTGCTAAGCCTGGTGTTTTTCCTACACATGTTGCCAACCAGTTTAATCAGGCCTACATTCCAGAAGAGCAGCTATGTGAACTTGTTGTAGGCAGCAAAAACAACAGAGACTCTTGGCATCATAAACACCATTTTGGCTTTCCTGAAGTCACAGTCTGCTTTATCAAATATGCTGCCACAATATATTGGTTAGTCTTCAATATACCACAGAACTTTGCTATTTTTATTGGATATAGAAGGTTTGTTGTCCATGTCTGTGTTAAGCCTGACAAATTTTCCATGTGCTGTCAAAAACAGTACAAAACTGACTCAGCATTCCCACTTTGAAATAAATTTTCCATATATAGCTGTTTTATTGAAAACTAAATCTTTGGTCCAGCTAGGGTAGTAATGATTCAATGTGCACATTCCGCCAAGCCAAAAGGTGGTTTGGTTTTTGGTTTAGTGTGTAAATCTAGCCTTCTGATTTGTCAACCAGTTATGATGATTC